ACACATATAAAGCCAAAAGAACTGGGCTTATTTTTAACTAACAAAGTAGATGAAGCAAGTTGAATTATTTCCACTTAACATCACCTCCACCATTTTCGCATCCTCCAGGAGACCATCATGAAGGCAATGTTGCTGCTCCATTTTTTATGGCTTGTTTCAGCACTGGCAGAAGGATCTCCAGACGGTAATAAGCATACAAACTGTTATGTAACTTTTATTTACACTTGTTGAAAGGCCATGTTATATTTTAGTAATGTGCGATCATTTTTCAAGTTTCAAGTAATTCCTTTGAGAGGAACTAGCCAATCAAATCGGTGTGCGTAAGAACCTGTCCATACTATTACGCTATAGCCTTATGCGGAGAAGGATTTGAAGCAATGTTTTTTAATGATTTTTACAACGTTAAACAACTTTAAATTAATCTCCGACGGCTACATTCGTAAAGGAATAACAGAATAAGCTTTATACGTAAATTTAAACGAAAAAACACTTGTTTCAAAAAGAAAAGAAACTCACTACCACTAATGGATAGCCTAATTAATTATACCTGTGCAAAACTGTGCATTCATTAAAGTTCAAATGGCACCGTCAAATGTTGACTTTCATAACAACAACTCTCCCATGCACTTTTGACGTTGCTCATTTGACAGTTTTCATTCCTAGTTCGGCGACAAGCTTGTCGAAGCGATTCTTGGGCAAAGGTTTCGTCAGAATATCTGCAATCATCTCATCAGTAGCAACGTATTTCAAAACGATCGCTTCGTTCTGCACTCCTTTGCGAAGAAAGTGATAGCGTATATCAATGTGTTTGGTCCTAGCATGACCCACAGGATTCTATGCCATTGTAATAGCTCCCTGGTTGTCTTCATGGCATGAATTTCGATGGATTCCTCCAGAGGTTTTCCTACATCTGCGAGAACCTTCCAAGCCAGATTTCTTCCTGGGTGGCCGTACTGAGGGCTACATACTCCGCCTCTGCTGTTGACAAGGCAACGGTAGCCTGTTTCTTGCTCAGTCAGCTCACTGCTCCCCCAGCCAATTAAAAAAAATGTTTCCTGAAGTGGAATGTCGGTCATCCACATCACCCGCCCAATCTGCATCTGAGTAACCAGTCAGGTTTTCCATCAGCACACTTCTTTTAACTTAAACCGAGGGACACAGTTCCTTTCAGATATCTGAGAATCCGTTTTGCTGCCGTTAAGTGATTTTGTGTAGGATTTGCACAGAACTTGGACACAACTCCCACTGCTTAGGCGATGTCCGCACGAGTTGCGATTGTAGCATAAAGTAGGTTCCCAACGATGAACTGGCACGAGATCGCATCGACAGGTCCTCTAACACCATCTTCCTTTTGCAGCTTGACCTTCAAATTAGCAGGTGTGGACACCGCTTTTGCTTTTGTTTGCCCAAACTTCTTGAGCATCATTTCGATGTACTGCCCTTGATGAAGGTAGACTTACAACTGATTGTTTTCCTGGTCTTCAACGATGCAAACTCCCACATGGTAATGTAGTTCCCCCATATCCTTCACCTTAAACAGCAATTTCAAGATGTCCTTAAGTCTTTCCATCTCCGAAATGTTTTTCGTTAGTATCATCAGATCATCAACGTGAACTGCGATGATTGTCAACGTATCTTCCTTTCTGATGATACACAGGGATCTGCCGAGGCTTGAGTAAAATCAATCTTCTCAACACATTCCCGAAAAGCTTTATTCCAACATCTGAATGACTGCTTTAATCCATACAGTAACCTCTCTAGCTTGCACATCAGATGTTCTTCGCCGGGTTTCACGTATCCTTCCGGTTGCTGCATGTACCATTAGGAAAAGCTGTTTCAACGTCTATCTGATGAATCAGAAAATTTTTCTAGACTGCGAAAGCTAGCAAAAGACGTATCGAAATGAAACGAACTACAGGGGAAAAAGTTTCATGACAGTCAATACCACATTTCTGGGCGTAACTCTTGGCCACTAGGCGTACTTTAAAACGTTCCACCGTACCATCCGCACCATGTTCCAGTTTAAACACCCATTTGCATCCTATAGCTTTCCGACCGGGGAGTAATTCAACCAACTTCCACGTCTTGTTTTCAATCAGAGAATTTTACCCTAAATCCATAGCGACTTTCCACTCTGCAGCATGATCACTTGATTCTGCTTCTTGTATGGTTGAGAGTTCATGTATCTCACATAGATGATATATACACAACATGGTGCACGCGGTGGGTTGTGGTGTCTGGGTATTCGTCGTAACCATATTTGACAGGTGCTTTTCGCGTTCTCTCAGATTTTCGGGGTTCTTGCGGCGTGTCTTCTTCTTCCTTCTCTAATTTCTTCATTTCTGCTACTTCTTCATCTTTTGTCGTGGCGACAACATTCTGCTTCACGTCCTCGCTCTTTTGGTCTGGCTCTGTAGTCATGGCTTGCTGATCTGGCCGAAATCTTTCTCATTAAACTCAACATCTCCCGGGATATACAGCTTTCGTTTCGTTCATGTTATAAAAAAGACGATATCTCTTTGATTTCAAGCTGTAGCACTCGAAAAGCATCTTCTTTGGCTTCTTGTCTAGCTTTCGCCGTTCACCGTCTGGCACGTGGGCCTATGCAATACATCCAAACACTCGTAAGTGTTTCACATCTGGTTTCTTCCCACACCACCGTTTGTAAGGAGTTTCATTTTTTTTTTAGTGCCGTCGTGGGAAGGCGGTTTCTCACATAAGCAGCTCTGGAGATCGGCCCAAAAGATGTTCGATAATCCTGCATGTGCGATCATCGAGGTTGCTGACTCAACCAAAGTTCGATTCATTCTTTCTGATACACCATTCTGTTGGGGTACGTGTAGCACTGTCAACTCATGTCTAATTCCTTTCTCGTTCAGATAGTTCTGGAATTCAGTAGACAAATACTCGTCAACATTGTCTGTTCGGAAAGTTCCTATCGCTCTGCCAACATGGTCGGTAGTTTGTGACTTCAAATTCTTTAAATTTCACGAGCACTTGTGACTTGTGTTTTATGAAGCAGACAGCGCAGGACCGAGGGTAATCATTATTAAACGTGACGTACTACTTTGCTCCTCCAATCGACTGTGTTTGCATTGGACCGCACACGTCACTATGCACCATCTGTAGTTTCCGAGTCGACCGTATCTCCCACTATGAGAAATGGTTTTCGACACATTTTTCCTACCAGAAATCCTTCGCAAAACGACGCTTCAGTCATTTTCTCGATGTCAGTCCCTTGCAGGAATTCATTCTGAACACGTTTTTTGAGGCGGGACTCATGCACATCTCCGAGACGTTGAAACCATATGTCGCTACCACGAGATGACGCAACTGAGGCATACCCAATAGAGACAACTTGACAATTTAGTTGATTGAGTTTATCAGCCAGTGACCCCATTCCACGAAGTTTTCCATTTTAATTCCAGGTATAACAATGATTAGGGCCAAATTCGACAACGTTGCCCCTAGCAGCTGCAGCTTGCACAGAAAACAGGTTGCAGGTGAGATTAGGCACGTACAGCACATTATAAAAGACAGCTTTCTTGGTCTCAGTTCTTGGAAATAGCATATTCATTTGTACGCATCCAGATCCCAATGCTTTCACAACACGACTGCCTCCTAGTGCAACATTTTCAGGCTCACCAAATTCCTGGAAACTCATCAAAACGTGCTTTTCTTTCGTCATTTGACTTGATGCACCCCAGTCGATCAGCCATGAATAACATTCTTTATCCGCAAAGTTAACGCTCCCAACAGACGCCATGAACGCTGCATCATAAACAACTTCACCATCCATGTCGGAATTTCCCTGTCGGCTCCCTTCACCTTCAGCTATCTTTTTCTTTGTGCCATTTACGTTTCCTGTGACAATAACGGAGAATATGACCGACATCACCAAATCCAAATCATGTAGACGGATCGCGTGGCGAATAACTTGGACAATAACGGCGAATATGACCCACATTACCGCATCCAAAACATGATGGCCGATCGCGTAACGTAGTTCTCATAAAAGACATGGATTTCAATTTTTCTTCCGTCCCTGTTTATTAGACATATTATGTTCTGGTAAGGTACGGTCAAGCCTTCAAGAGCACAATTCCCGGTCAGCACTAAGTTTATATTGGACTAAATTAAAAAAGTGGCGTATATGAATGGATTTACCATATGGAATTTGGCAAAAACGTCAGGCCAGTTACCTGGAGATTGATCTGATCCCAACTCGGCAAGCTCGGTGAATTATAGATATTCAAATATTACAAATACATTGCGTGCAGCCATTTTGAACTTGCCTTTCATTTTTTTGTAAACAAAATCTTGAAATTCAAACATTTCCTCGATGTTGATTCTGGTAAGATCAAAAATGGATTATCTCCTGGAATTGGACCCAATGTTCAATAGCCTCAATACCCTTTCATAATTCATCTACCGAGTTTAGCGGTTTATGATCATAGCCACTTTGATTTTACAGCATTTCATAATCAGCATGTGAAAACGTAATTTTTTAAAAAGTTTAAACAAAAACCATGCTCATGTATCTATACTAAATGCTTAGTATCTGTCTCGCGTGAGTTATATCAGAACGGACGTGCTCGAGTGAACGGTTTCCTCAAAACAACACATTCGATTCCCGTTAGCAAACAGTTTGTTTTTAAGCGATGACTTCAAAGACATCGCTTGATGCAGGCAGCGAAATGTCTTTGGATGGGCTATGTTACGATGTATAACGAACGCTCGATTTATCCTAGTAGAGAACCAAGGAGTACTGGCAACTAAACACACCAAAGTTGGCGTATACTGTAGCTACTCTGCACCACAATCTGCTGAAGAGTAAAATTTGATCAACTGTTACGAGAGGATTTACTAATCATTTCTTTGTTGATTGAAAATTCTAGGAACCAACAGTAGCAAAAAGTGTTCAGGATTGATTTGCATCTTTTTTTTCTTTATTTGACTCTCAATTAAACAACACAACATAGCAGTATCCATCAAGATGAGAAAGCTTTGCAACTTTCTGTGCCCTCTTTATAATTAAATGCTCTGTTTTTGAAGAATTTCCTTGTTAAATCACCTAAAAGATAAGGAAAGCAGTTTAATGACAAGATGGTCAGAACATGACACACTGAGGGTCTTGTAACCTCTGAGCCGGCTTGGTAGCTAGCTTTGGTCGCCTCGTCATTTATGTAATGTTTAAGAAACGAGCATCAGTGTTTTATCGGATTTAAAACCCCAGGGGCAGCCAAGTGTGTTAAACCCGATAAAACACGTGTTGCGAGTTTTTTGAACAGCTTCAAAAATGTTTGTGGTAGATCTACTCATTTGCAGAGTAATCCTTGGGTTTATTATTATTTTTCTGAAGAAAATCGGCTGCAAAATTTAGCCGTATCTTTATCAGATTTAACGACAGTCATTAAAAATTTCTTTTGTATTTCCTTTATAAATTACTAATGAGTTTTTGAAATATTACAATGTATATTCAGCTGGTTCGTTAAGTCGATTAGACTCTATTGATATCCCACCTACCCATAACAGATTCCACAGCTTCTTTTGCAGTTGGGTTTCATGTAGCCAGGGTTTGTGTAACAGTAACCCATAGCTGCCCACTGTTGGCAATATTGATTACGATCCGTACAGCCCCCTGCCGTTGCATTTCGTTAAAAAAACAACAAAACAAAATAACGTCAATAATCAATTCTAACAAAAAATTGCTGTGCTGAGAAGGAAAACAAGAACCGAATGGGCATCAGTGAAACAATGATTGTCAGATCAAACGAACAGGGTGATTTTTCACCAGTGCATGCGCATGTATTCAAAATCAGAGTAATTAGGTGTCGTCATTCGACCGTATCAGGGAAATATCCCGACGTAGTCAATTCGGTAATTCGACGTAGTCAGTTCGGTAATCGAACTCCTAACTTCGGAAATCAGTTGAACGATTGGAGTTCGATTGATTGATTTTTCGTTCGGTTTTGTTCCACTGACTACGCGAAGAAATATCGTTCCCAAACCCTGCACTGCTAAGGGATAGGCTGGTAAAGAGCTTCCTACACGTTTTTGTCCTGGTGTAGGTCAGGAGGAGAGGGCTGTCCAATAACTACTTGGAATTACACGTGCTGGCTTCAATGACTTATTACAGGATTGAGAAATTTACTTCCTTGTGATTGGCTGATCATGATAGCATGAACAGAACGCACCTCTACCGTGAAGAAATCCATGGAGGAAGCATTTCCAACAAACATGGCTTTTTTTCTTACCTTGTGCAGGGCACACTCGACAGCTTTTCTTACAGTAAACACGCATATATCCCGGGTTTCTATTGCATTCCCCAATGCTCGCCCAATATCCACACTTGTTGTTGAAGTCTTTGCAAGATTCTGTTACAAACACATAGAGAATTTCTTTCAGTTAATCCGCCATAAAACTCCATAATATACTATCCATTGCCCCCTTTATAGCCTCTCCCAGAAACTTCACAAGAAACAAACGTCGATATATCAAATGCCAGGCAAGTTTGTTTTAATTCAATACTCGTTTATATTTGAAGATTTATGAATAAGACTATTTTCTTTTTCGCACAAATCATTTGGATCTTCCTATTGAACCTAAATCGTTGGTTACAGCTTCCCTTCTGAGGCATATGTTTACATTTAGTGTAAATCTACTAGCGTTCTATCCCGAATGCCTTTCTCTGATTGGCTACACTACTCACTATCAATCAATTCTGTTGTTGTTTGTGAGTATCCTTACAGTGTGTGCTTGTTAGCAAAGTGGAGGTCAACAAAATAACGGCCGCTTCTTTACGTTTTCGAAGATTCTGTGAAGAGGACTTAGATAAAGTTTTGAACGACTAGCAGATTTCTACTAAAATAGTTAGATTATTCGCTCTCGATTTCTGTGCGTGACATTCTGGAGCTCATAATCTAATTGTTAAATATATTTTCTCTTGCTCGCTTCACGTTCATTCCACTTACTCAGAGAGCAATGCGCTCTTTTATACCGTTGCTGGGTTTATGTCAAAAAGCAACGCTATCGTAATTTAAAGTTACTTCCCACATTCAAGGGCACAAAAAAATCTCCTTTTTTTTCCCTTTATTTGACAAAATTAAAGTCAATCATTTTGAATGTTTAAAAATAAAAATCTTAAAAAATCTCAAAAAGAGGCCGAGTTATGTAGAAAAAACACATTTTGAGTTAAAGTTAATAAACCAGGCAAGGTGTCATAATCTCTTAAATGGAGGAAACCGCCGGGAAAATTTTTTGCGGCAAACGTTCATATTGGAGTTCGTATTTCATGTTATTTGCTTTTGTATTTACATCGCGCTTCTGTGCAAAAAGAAGCCCTTGCGCTTGTTCTCAAGTGGAAAATTCTAAACAGAAAAACGTCCTTGGATGAAGGTAAAGAAACAAGCAACCCCAAAGAAGAAAGAAGGGACCCATTTCTGTGTAGGAAAGAAAAAAACACCTTTCTAAAGGCGACAAATATAGCTGTCTGTACTTTGATTCGTTATTCGTGCTTATGGCTACATTTGCTGGCTTTACTTGTTTTGCCACCGGTTGTTCTTTTGCCTTTGGCTACTTTGCCCGTTTTACTGTTTTTCTCTTCAACGCGACAGCGAGATAGAAATTAAACGTGTTTCAATGCGATGTTTTTCCCGGGAAATCCTGATTAGACACATTATGCCAGGGCATAATTTTGGGCATAACGTTATACTCGGAGCAACGAGCATAATGCCGGCATAAATTATCGGGCATTTTTTCAGCAAAAAGAGACTAATTATAAGAAAAAAATTAATAATTCCATAACTGTAATGAGTCTGAGAAATTTTCACTTTCAAGTGCTTTTAGTAAGGATTTAACATATTCAAAGGCTTGGTTCCTACTGTGAAATTCTGTGCCCGCTAGCGAACTGATCAGATAGTATCACAATGAGAGTTTCATTGAAATAAGACATTTTGAGCATTATTTGTTGTTGTTTTTTTGGCTTGTTAAGTTGTAATTGATGCAATAAAATCTTGTGTTTCTGACTAAAGGAAGTATCATTTGTCTGCAGGGATGGAAAGGGACATCATAAAATATAACCAAGATCAGTCAAGCATAATGCTACTTCTCAAGCATAATTTTAGGCATAATGCTGGTGTTTTGAGGGTGACACTCAAAAGCATAATGCTCAAATTTTCGAGCATAATGTATCTAACCCTAATCCTGATCCATTGTCATTGACGTCAGGAGGTCCTGTTGTTCCATTGGTTTGTGGTTTCGCGAGAAGAGATAATTTCCTGGCATGGCGCGAGTTGTTTACGAACCTTTAGGAGGTAAAATCTCGCATTTGAGTTTGAGAGGAATACATACGCTTTGAGCGAAGTTTTAGGATATGCAGATTAGACGGATTTTCGTGACATTTCGCCAAAACATTCCAGGGATAATGACAAACGAAATTGTACCAGAAAATTTTGATATTTAAAATGTTTTTCCCCTGGCGTCCATTTACGCAACACGTCTCGCAACTTCAACTTTAAATGCGGTTATCTCGACAACCTATCAAAATATCGAAAGAGCCTGACACACTTTAGATGACTGATGCGTTGTTAATAAGGCCTTGCAGCCATTTCTCTCGTGCTGCGGCATCCGATACCCGATAAATGCGATAGAAGAACCCTCGGTCGTTTCACGCCTTGCCGGCTCCTGACACTTCCTAGCCTAAAAGTAAAAACCGAACCTGAAACTGAAAACAGTCATTGATCTTATTCTTCTCACCTCCTCCTCCTCCT